GTGACAGTTTTAGCTAATTTTGAGCAGAACTCAAGAACGTTAGCCAGTACATGACTAGCAAACACAGCTTTAAACAGCTGTACACAAATAAAATCATAATATTTTCTTTATTAAAACACAAAAGAAAGTTGACTTAATTGCAGAAAAGATGTGTTTTGGTGCTGACAATTCTTCTTTTCAATTATTCTTTACAGGAATGCAGTCTCACTTCCTGCTCTAAAATATAGGGGTGTGGCTAAAATAAGAGAGAAAAAAAATCTTTGCTTTGGTAGTGATATGAAAAACTTTTTTATTTAAAAATTAAATTAATGATAAATTTAAATCTTTCAACTTTAAAAGAAATCAAACACTTCTTTTTGAAAAATCAACATAAAAAATTAAAAGTATTATTTTGACAAGGGGTTAGGGTTTGAGGCAGACACCTATTAATAGAAAGTACCCTATAAATAATGATTTTTTATATATTTAGCTTATTACTATGTAAATTAATGCCATGGGTTTTCACTATACACTGTATGTCACAATATAGTTTCTGACATCAGAGAAGTTAGAACAGACAAATTAATACAACATTTATTAAATGCTATCAAAAACAGTACAATGGTTTTTATTTGCCAATTCACATACGGTGCTGCCCAAAATTCAGTTAAACAGGCTTAGTTATGCTGTCAGCGTAATCAAACCTGCAGTTGGGAAGTGTTTTTTAGTACTGATGGTATCTACAGCATGCTCAGAAATGTTTATTGAAATATATATTGTGACATAATTTATCATGATAACAATTAATATTGTTGTATTGTTCAGCCCAGGTTGTGGGCCATTTCTGCTGGTCCATTCATCGTGAAATTTTGACACAGTCTAAACAAGTATGACACTGTTTCTCAAGGATGGGGCATTTCACCCCAAAACACTCTTAACACACTTTGTTTACATCTGAACAATTCAGTCAAGCAGAAATTTTGAAAAATCCGTGGAATTCCCCTTTAACTGTCACCAAATACTGTTACTGGTGTTTTGGGAACTCTCACAATCTCACACTCCTCTTTCTTTGCAAAACAGAAGTGAGGAATGAAAGGCAGTCTATGTCGCTGTGTGCATGTCATCAGCACAATGACTTCATTTCATGCTTAACGTCAGACAGAGATTGAGAGACAGAAAATGTGGTAAACCAGTGAACTCTCGCCGTTGTGGCTGACTTAAAAAGGCAGACAGTTTCGTTTTATTAGGCTTACAACCAGCCCCTCTACCGCCACGCTTTTTGATCTGCTCTTTTACCACCCTCCTTGAGACGTGACAATTGCATGAAGAAGCGGAGCAAGACAACTGATGTAGTTTAGTATCAGCTCAAACAAAAGAGCTATTAAGCAGCTCTCTTGCCCTGCCCCCCCCCACACACCTCTTTCACTTTGTGTATGAGGGCCGCCTAAAGAAAATAAATGAAAACCATAACAAAGTCAAAAGCTGCAGGATCAATAAACAAGCCTAATGAGCACCAGTCTCGGCGCAGGCCTGGACATGATGAGGGGGAAAAAATCCCTCCCTTTGTCCTCCTGAAAAGAGGGCGACTAAATAAAGCAGAGTGGACTGAGAGTGGGGAAAAAATGAGACTATGACTCTGAGTGTGAAAGAGGAGAAAAGGCAGCATGCATATGTGTTTACAGAGAGCCTAAGCAGCAGCACAGATTGACAGGAAATGGTGCCTTTTTCTGAGGCAGCCTGGGTCGTACCACTTCCACCGAGCTGAGGGGGAGGTGTGTGTGTGTGTGTGGTGAGATGTGGTAGGACAGTGTTCACAGCCACCTCTGGCACTGGGTTCAGCTGTTTGCTGGATTTGAACCCTGCTGTAGGCCCGGCCGTCCCTCAGCTGTTCTGCCACTGACAGCCATTGGCAGGGACCTTAGCAGAGCTATTTATTTCGTAGCGTACCCCCCCCCCACCACCCACTTAATGCGGTACTGAGGGCCCGTGTGTTGCCAGAGTTATAAGAGGGAGTTTGATGGTGGGGGTATTTAGGTCTGGAATGGGGTAGGAGGGCTTGGGCAGGGCAGGACAGGGCAGGGCAGGGTGGAGGGCACTGGTGGGACGATAAAGGAATTTCAGCATCACGATAATTGAAGAATCATTACAATATGAAATTATTATTGCATGTAACATCAAGGTAAACACTTATGTTTCACATGTTGGCAGTCCTTTTTTATCTCCCCAATTTAGTCACCCCTCCAGCTTGGTACACTCTCATAAAAAAGGTACTATGCTGTCACTGGGGTGGTACCCTCTTCAGCACCTTTAGTTAGTTAACATAATTGTGCCATATTCTATGGAAATATTTAATTACAGTGTATCTAACAATGCTACCAAGCTAGGAGGGTGAAGGCTAGCAAGTGCTTATTCCAAGTCACATGCTGAGCCACTGAACGTTTTGTACTGCTGAACATGCTTGGAAGAGATCATGCTGAGTGATGGTGGGAGAGGGAAAACCATCCTTCCCATGCAGAGATAGCGAGGGCACTTATGCTCTCTTAGGCCGTGGCATTGTAGGGGATTGAACTCACAATCTCCTGATAATCCCATCTAAAGGATCCCTCTGAGTGATGGGGAGAGCGAGGACCATGACAAAGTGAGGTCATTCATGCTCTCTCAGACTTCCTTCCAGGGATGCTGTGGCATCGCTGTAGATCTCCTGGTGATGGAAGCCCAAATGTGGGCAGTTCTTGAGGTTCTCCCTGGATTGCTCAAGTTTTTGTTGCCTGTCTTAGAAAAAATTAATCCCATTCATTGACACAAAATGCATTTTCATATGTTAATATTTCTTATGAAGTTTAAATTGCTTGGTTGTATCCAGGCAACTTTACCTTGGCACAGTTGCTTGGGAAAGGTGCACTGGTGGTGACGCGTTTAGGCTGTGATAACTGAGAAGATTAGGTTCTATAGCTGAGCTGACATCTATCTACCTTAGACTGCATCATGAGCACAGCTACCTGTCCACCAAGTTTAGTAAACATTCAAACCACTGATTGAGTGTCCAGGAATTTTACAGGACTAAGGTGGCAAATCTAGATTGTAGTCATGAAAAAGAGGGGAAAATAAGTATTTTGAATTAATAAATAAACCAACTATGCCTCACTTTTCAGTTCATCATGCAAATCCTCACTGTCATAAATTTATGTAGCTCTTTACATACATTTTCTTTGGTTCACTCATCATTAAGTGTTGTTAAATATATGTAACAGGTAGCTGGTGTTTTAATTGATGTAACAAAATATAGATTTTTTTCTTTGGACAGTGAAGTTGACATGAAAACAGCCTTGTGTATGATGTCAGTGATGTTTATAGTGGTAATCCATTACGACCAACAATCTTGCAAATACTTTGCATCAAAAGGTATAGTATCTACAGTGTATACATCATTCCTCAAACAAACATATTCTGATTTTTCAGTTTCTTTGTTTTAGGAAAGTCAATTTAATGTGAAACCTAATTGGGTCACAGCATGGAGCAATTGTTGTATTAGATCAAGGAATCCAGCAGACCAAATCCTTCATTTTAGGTTAATACATAAGGCATATGCACACCCAGTTTGCTCTATACATTAAAAGTTCCTTATTGTCATTTATGTAACTCAACAGAAGTCTGCATATAGATGCTTATGTTTTTGGCGTGTCCCATTGTGGTTGTATATTGACACTCTCTCTAATATTTTGGGACGATCTTTATTCAAAGATCCGAGGACTTTCCTTTTACTTGACTCTGCAGAACCATTTTCTTTCCACCAGAATGTGATTTTCCTGGCCGGCCTTACAGCAGCCAAAAGAACAACTTTGTAAATGTGGTTTAAACCCTCCGCTCTTGCTCATCATATTAGTCCTGGTTTTCAGGACATTGCCCTTCTGAAATAAACAATGGCTGGGATAATTAAGGCCAAAACAAGAACAATTGTATCCTGGTCAAACTAGTAAAAATATTGACCTCTATAAACTGATTAGCCATTCAAGCTATAAGAGTGTGTAGAATCGCTTTCATCTGGCAATGATTTACCTTTCTTATATATTTCCTCTTTATTTGTGAGTGTAACACTAACTGTCCCTTCTATCATCACTATTGTGAATAATCTTGTGGGCCCATCTTGGGTTTTGTATGTATAGCTCTTGTGGTCTATGTGCTTACTTGTTAAAATATTGGTCACAAAAAATCACTGGCACAAAACTCATGGAGGGTCGTCGGGTAGCTCGCCGTCTCGGCCTTCAGGTGAACTTTGACTTGAGGTGTGTTGGGGTGACTCTGCTACAAGTTATTTTCGTTCTTCGCGTTTGTTCTTTTTCAAACGGTTGTACGGCAGCCAAGTTCTTTTCCACGTTCATCCCTAACGGCCCACTGTCCTGGGGCGCGCGGATTTCGTCACTGATCTATTCTGACTCGAGAGAAGTCAGATGAAAGCGTCGGGGGGCTGTTTTGAATCTTCCCCACATATTTAATGAAGTAACCGCAGAAGTGGCCATCAGTCATTTTCTCTGTCTTTTGTGGAGACAAAAGAGGAGAGGGTTTTTTTTTTTGCCTTGGCATCTGCTCAGTGCACAATGCTCTCTCTCCCTCTCCGTCTCTCTCCTCTCTCTCTCTCTCTTCCCCTCTCTCACTCACTCACTCACTCACTCTGGACTTTAATATGGTTATGATTAGAGACGGAGTTGGAGGGGGTGTCTCATATTTACTGCAGGGGGAAGAGGGGGAGGTGCAGAGTCACGGACATGTTGAGCAGTGTGTGTGTCGGGGCTTGTGCTTGTGTGTGTCCCGCTCGCTGACATATGAATCACAAAAGAAACAAAACAACAACAACAAAAAAAAACAATGGCAAGAAATAAAAGTTTGAACTCTAACCACCAGATCAGGGCTGGCAATACTCGCATGCACACAAACATACTAAGTTTGGCCCCTCCTCCTCCCCTACCCCCTGCCTTCCTCCCTCTCTCTCTTTCTCTCCTCCTCTCTTCCCCTCCCTCTCTCTCTCTCTGTCTCTCCACCCCCTCTCTGTGGGCGCAGAAGCAGTTGGTTTGCTCCGTTGTGGCTGGGACTTCACTGAGTGCTATGTTGAGTGCTTATTTAGGTCTGTTACAGCAGACTAAGAGCAGCTTGCCCAAGGGCATCGGGAGAAGAGAGGGCGAAAAAGAGCGAGAGACAGAGAAAGACAGCAGGAGAGAGAGGCGACCAGGAGCCAACTCCGCATTCCAGCCCTTGGAACGAGACAGAAGCGACCAGCAGTGGGAACTGACAGAGGAACAGCAAAGGGAAAAAAGAAGGCAACGATAGGAGCTAGCACTGCGCTGATCTCAAGCTGGGGATTTGGCGCCAGTTGTTGTTGTGTGTTGTTGTTGTTTTGAGGGAAGTAAGCAGAGGCAGGCTGAGGCAGTTCTAGGACAGGGTCGGTTTGTCCGGGGCGCAGCATGTTCGACTGCATGGAGGCGCTGGGGATGGGACCCCGCCAGTTGTATGATGTCACCAACCGGGGTGCGTGCATGCTAAGGAAGGCGAACCCCTTCTTTGCGGGACTGGACCCTTTCGCCTGGACCGGGACAGCTAGCGTCCAGTGTAAGTGGACTGTTTTCCCCTCTCACTCGCTGTCTCTTTCTCTTTCTCTCTCTGTCACTCTGGTGTTGTGCAGCTCACTCTGGCAGGGGCTTGTTTACAGCTTTCACAACTTCTCCACTGACCACAGCAAAAAGAGCCTGCACCTTGCTTAGGCTATTTGTTAAGAGTGCTAAAGCTAGGGAATGTTCATCAAGCATGTAGTTGTTTGTGCGTGAGAACATTCGGCATGTGGGCACACGAGAGCAGTCAGAAGGGCATGCGTGTGGATCATTTGTATATGGATGGACAGTGGAGTGTCCGGTTTCAGGAACACAGATTTTGGCCTCATCAGCCACCGAAAAGGTGATCAGGGGTGAAATGTGAAAGAGGGAAAGTGAGTATGTGTTTGTGAGACGGAGAGAGAGCAAGAGTTAGAGGTGGGCGGGGGATTTGGGAAGGGGGGGGGGTGGGGTTTGGGGTCTGACACTTTGCTATAATTCCAGTCATGCAGACTGCATTTGTCTTCTTCAGCTTCACAATTGCAGTGGACAGGTCCGGTATGCCTGTCCGTGACCCTGTTTTGTCATCCCGGGACATGAAAATGGCTAGAGGAAAGAGATGTTTAGAAAGATTCTCTGGTCCCGCATCCTTTCAGATGAAACATATTTGTCCCTGGGAAACAGCGAGCAGCCTGGCCCAGAGTTCAGTAAATAAATAAATTAAGAAATTAAATGAAATAAAGAGCAAGCAAATGGGATAAGTGAATTAAGTGGGTCGTCCAGGCTGGAGTCGAAAGCAGCAGAAATGTGTTTGAGTGCCAAAGGGCCTGGCTAGGCCTTCTCTTTTTCTTGCTTATTTTCCTCTCTCTCTCTTTCTCTCTTTCTTTTTTTTTCCCTCCTCTTCCCTCTGTTCCAGACTTCTGACAGTCTTCTGGCTCCTCCAATGGCCCTGTCTCAGCACAGATAAAACTGGGGTCTATTTCCATAGGCTAGGCGTTTGTGCATGTGAGGAAGAAAGAAGGAAGGGCCTTATCCTTTGAGGGAACAGTTCCACATATGCAGAAACCCACCAACCAATCTGAAAAAAAAAGAAAAAAACAAAAACAGCGCAAAAACCATCTCTCATCGTTGGGCTTTTCAGATGGAAGCCGGTTGCTGCACTTTTTAGGTTTTTTTATTTGTTCAACCTTCTGCTTTTTTGTTCCTTGGTGCTGGCCTCTCTCTGGGGAGAGTCATCTGTCTTCATTAATCCTGAAGACATCAACGTTTCAGTGGCTGTCAGCCACACTGGGCCGCTTTTAATGAAGACAGATGCCCTGTCAGGGCCTGGCCGAGGCCCTCCCCCCAGCACAGCCACAACCCGCATCACGATGAGATCTGTTTATTTAATCAATCAGATTTCAACCCCCTAAGCGAACCTACACTTTCACAGACAGACACAAAATGTTTGTTTTTATACCTTACCAGGACGTTGGGTCAACGTTTGAGAGTGAATGGACCAATAACCATCCTTAGTGTCAGTAACCTAAAAGAAATGTTTTTCATGGGGTTTCAAATATTTTTGTCCTGAAAATGTATGAAAACAAACATTCACACCCACACACGCACACGTGCATAGGAAAAAGTATCCCTCTGCTCCTTGCCGTACAAGTTCTTTTTCCCCACTTGGGTTCCAGGAAACAGAGGAGGGGGGTAGAAATGCAGTGGGAAAAGCACAGGACGGCCCGAGGGAAGAACCGGAGCGGTGTCCCGTTTCAGCCCTCCGTGCCTACTCAGGCCTCTGTAAACAAGGCCAGCCTGTCCCCCCCTCTTCAGCAGCCGCCTTGCCCTCTTGCCTCATTGTCCCCCTCAATGAGGCAGATGAATTGATGTTCAAGCCCGATATCTCATTAGGGCCAAACCAGCTGCTGAGCCCATGGCCCATTCAGGGGGCTTCAGCCGACTGACTTCTGCTGCTGCTGGCTGGCTGCTCTGTCTCAGCATTTTGCATTCTCAAATGTTGTCTTTGTAATCTACAGGAAGGAAGTTTCCCTCGTGAAAAAGAAAAAAAAAAAAGAAAAAAAAAGAGTTCTCTGGCTGGTTTGCCAGCGAGACTCAGACGTTCCATTTTACAAGGTACCTTTCAGATTTACTTTCATACACACATGTTGGAGCCAAGCTTTTCTTAATTGTTTGCGCTGTTCCCCCTTTTTTGTCCCTTAATGGCATCCAGGGAAACTTTAACTGCAAGGCACTTGACAATGAAGAGCCATTGTCATGGGGCCTTGCAGAAAGCCGTAGCTGTTTGCCACAGCAAAAGCATCACTGGTCACTTTCAGACTTTCAGACGTGTTCTTGGCTTTCCTGTTTTCTTCGTGCATCTTTTTTCATTTTCACCCCGCGAGTCAGAGGTGAGAGGGAGGTTACACGCTGGGCAGCGTCAGCTCTCCTGCACCATGTGTGCTGCTCTTTTTAAGGTCCTGAAAAGGAAGAGGAGTCAAAGGCCCTTTTTTTTTTATTTTATTGTGTAACACTCTGAACAGTGGCGAAGGCTTACTTAAGCTACTAGTGCAAATGAAATGCGCCAGTGATTTGGTAACATATTGGGTAGCAATGAGACGTCATGTTTTCTTTCACCAACATAACGACAAGATTAAGGACAGAATTTTACACTTGTCCCTTCTTCCTGTTAAAAATGTAGTTCGGAACTGGTGTCAAAGCTACAAATTAAGAGTGTATTACAATGAATAGTGTAAGAGAAAAGAATGCATTAAAATTATGTTATATCTATGTGGTATAGCGCAGTTTATCAGAGTACATCTAAAGCTCCGCCCTTATTTAATCAGTTACAACCCTATTTTCTAACTGATTAAAGTTATTGGCATTTTCACGATTTGTTTTTTGTTGTTTATTGTTCTGTTGTTTTTAGCTTCCATGGTTGGAATTCCTGATTGTGTTGCCGCCTTCCTATTCCCTCTCACTCTCTCACACACGCGCCATTGTCTCAGCCTAAATGCGTTGTCCGCATCCGAGTTCGATAAGCTGCATGGAATAGGGCTGTTTGTGACAGACAGGGAAATGAGAGCTTCCTGTGCCCGCTGTCATATTTACCCTCCCACATGCCCTCTCATTTTTTGTTTTAATGGAAATCTTCAATTATTTCATTATAATTACAAAAGATTCAATTAAATGATTACAATGCCTGAGGGGGCTGCCGTATGAATTAGATAGAAGGCTAATTTGAAGGAGAAATGAGAAAGATGGGGGGAGTGCGGTGGCTGAGGGCTAGTACCAGGAAAGAGGAAGAAATAGTTGGCCACAAGAGGATGAGGTATAGAAAAAAGTGTAGGTCAATGATATTCACACTTGTCTAGTATGAAGCAATTGATCTAATCAGAATTAGCAAGAAGTCAATTTCTTCTTCTGCTTTCCTGCCACTACCATTTGTTTATACCAATGTATCTATTTTGGCTGTTTTCATCACTGGTGTCTAGGTTAGCTTTGGTCTTCTAACTAGTTTGTCTGTGCAGTCATTGCTGTTGATTAGGGGTGTAAAGAAGAAAAAGAATTATTAAACATTAAACGCATGGAAATAATTATTTCACAGGTTCTATGCCACATTTTCAGAGGTGTGAAGTCCACATGAGCTCTCAACTTTACACAGGCAGGATGTTATTTAAACTGACTATTAAACTTGTTCCTGATCTTACAATAAGCATTTTTGCATGTTTACATCAGCAGTAACCTGAAAACAAGCTCCTTTATCAGCCTTTATCACTGACTCAAGCTTTGCGCGTAATGTCATGTTCTACATGCATATGAATCATTTTCTATGGGGTGTAGGAGGAGCTGAGTGGAGAATGCATTGCAAAGTATGTGGTGTACCTGGCTGCTGATCCCTTCTGGAGAGTCAGCTTGCTGCGCTGTCAATCTCAGGAAAAGAGGCCCAACGTGGCCGCTGAGATTCCACAGTGGGCTGCCGGAATCTGGCTTGCTGCACTAATGGCAGTTTAGAGACTCTCGCTGGGGTCGGGGAACTGTAAATAAAAGAGATTGGCCCTGTCGAAAAACAGTGCTATTCTGGACAACCCCACGATCTTGACTCTACAGTATGAGACGACAGGATTATTCTGAGATTCAATGCAGCATTAAAGGAAATGCTGCTGTGTGAAGAACATTGACCAGAACCTTCTGATTTAGCCAAACTTTACATACATAAAACATGACACTGTATTTGCTGAGTATTAGCCTGGCTATTAAAGCAGTAGTTTAGCAAAAAAACGTGTACAGTAGTTCCTGTTACCTCAGATGATGTCAGCTAAGTATTGAAAGGTTGCAGGAACTACAAGTCTAAACCACAAAACAAAAGAAAGAAACTTCAGACACCAAACATCTTCGCTAATCAACTACATTAGAAGTAAGAGCTTAACAGATTAGCTTGTTGCACCCTGTTGTGAATTTCTTTGCTGTATTGGATGCAAGCAGACTCTGTCAATCATTGGCCCTACCTGTGCTCAACCCTGGAGTGTGCTCTAATTAGCAGCCTGTCTCCCTTCATCTGTGTCTCACATCTCTGCAAGATGCAAACTGGGCTGAGCGTAACACTCTAAGGATCTCTGGGCGAGGCTCGTCGGCTCTCCCAGCTTGGCCAGCATGTTCGTTCTGTCCCTGGCTCTGGTGACTGTTTACTGAAAGGCTCAGCGCCTGCTAGTTTCCCTCTGGAGGCAAGGCGTTGGCAGGATCTGTGTCAGTCTCAAACCATGTGCGAGCTCTGTGTGAGGGGAGAGGTTCTGTTACTGCCGTGTTGTTGACTGATGACTTGGCTCCAGTGTTGCTAGGGCTTGCTGTTGCATGAAAGGGAATATAACCACCGCCAATGTACACCACAGACACCTCCTGACCACATGAGTGATCTAGACTTGAGAAGAGGGGTCCGTCAGTCAGGCCGAAGTCAAATGGTAACTGACATCGTTTAAGATGTACATAGTAGGGCAACGTTTTATCGTGAACCTGTACTGAAAAGTCATTAGCTTACAGTGAAGC